CCAAAACAGCCTTCGGATGCTTTGGGCGCTCAGGCGCAGCTTCAGCACTTGGTCCGAAGAGATTGCCACTCGCCTCTTCGTCTCGATAATACGACCAATGATAGAGTACGGCTCTCCCACGTGTTGTCCCATCACGCTGGGCGAGGTAGGGAAGCTTGAGCGGGTGCAGCATATAGCCACCAGGCTGATTCCCAACTTACGAGGTATGCCATATGAAGACCGATGTAAGAAACTAGGGCTGTACACCCTAGCATATCGTCGGCTGAGGGTTGACCTAATCATGACGCACCGGATATTACATCTGAGTGATTACCCCATGTTGAGACAACTGCTTCATCGGCGCACACCAAGCAGCACGCGAGAACACGGGTACAAACTTATCGTATCGCAGTTGAAGCGGGTAGCTCACCAACTCTGTTTTGAACCTAGAGTGGTGAATACCTGGCGCAACCTGCCGCCGCCGGTAATAGAGGCGAATTCGGTGGCCCAATTTAAGAAGCTTCTAGACAAACACTTTGCAGAGGCAAAATATAAAGAGCGAAACGATAGTTAATACGTTAATGCCCATGAGCGACAATTGATGCAGCTACACAGAGTATGCTCTACTCGCAGTATCAGTATCTAGGGTATTTTCACTGATTGGACTGGGCGCACGCTGTTCCCACGCGTTCTCTGTTTATGTGCTTGTTCATAGTGAACCGGAAATTGTGCGGAGGTGCACGCCACCCGGTTTGTTTCCGTGTTGAGGATCGGGGAACGCTTACCTTGCGAAGTAGCTATGAATAAGCCATGCGTACAATCAGCGGTAGCGTCCTAGGATGTGGGGTCTCTGGGCTGGTCACCTATTTTCTCATTAACCGCTATGTGATCGGCTATAAGGTCATTGGGCACTCACTTCTGCGAGCAGAAGTGAGTATCTAACGGTGGACGGATGAACAACCGTTGCGAAGGTGCGTAAGTCACCTGGCTGTCGACTGCGAGTGTATAAGTACGGTGAATTTCTCTTGACCTCCGTGCTACTTTACTCGCGCTGTTTTGGCCGTGATATCCGGCTCCCAAGTGTGTGACATATGTCAATCGCCTCGATGTTTTGTGGGTCAGGTCATTTTGACCAGGGGTTCTGACTGTTACACAACATTTCAACTTTCTTCCTTCATCTGAGCAACTAGGAAACTCGTTTGAAATGAACGGCAACTTTTGACGTTCAGAGGCGGATGCAGGTTGCACCACTGCCAGGCCTGGCTCATGTGCTGGTGAATATGCCACTGATATCCGCTGCCTCTGAAGCCCGATTACAGGACCGTAGCAACATGCAGCGACTAACTTCACCTTCTTTTAGTTTCGCTTAAAATCTCACTCTGAGGTTCTCTGGAGGTCCAGCTGCCGAATAGTGGTCTTTCGGGCGTGGGGATTCCGTTGTGCGCGCGCTTTGAGGTCGCACTACTAGACTGGATACAACTTGAACCCTCCGTGCACTGTCCAACGACGAAGCCAGTAGACGTTAGAAATTCGTTGTAGCTGTTTGCGCTGCCACTGAACGCATCCCCAAATCGTTAAATGTTGATTTATTCTCTCAATTCTCTGACCTTCTCCGAATAGGTGACCTACGGCGGGAAATCGTAGTGCTTCCCGGTGGCTTAAACGAGCAGGTCGACAGACATATGGTTGACGTGTGTGAACCCGGTGCGTAACATGGCCATGGTACTCGCAGAACAGACAACCATGCTAGTCTACTTCAGTTTTGGTACTATTCACAGTGCATGATAGTACGGATTCAAGAGTGTAGCTGATTTGGTCTTTTTGCTCTATGCTGCTGCCTGTCAGTCACCTATCACATATCACTGACAGACTCACGGCATTCAGATGGCACTATTATTCGAATAGGCCGCAAGAAATGCATGTGCGCAAGTATGCTGATTGGTTTGAGGACCTTACGGTTTCATACAGACCGGAATGTAGACATCAGTCTAATGTATAATAATCATCGTTCCGCGATGCAAATGTTTTTTGACCAATGCAACCGGTATTGACTGAATGGATTTTCGCATCACTCAAAAGTCACTCGTATTATGGAAGGTTTCCCTTCCGGCTCTTGTGTGACTGTTCCACTGGTTATAGCACCGAATCCGTTTGGCTCGATGAGGCTTTGTATATTCATATTCTATATATAAGGTGGTGCGCCGACCTTTGTGGTGGCTAGTTTCTGACTGTTCGTTGTCCCGCTCCTGCTTATATTGTGCTGTGGTCTCATGTCCTGGACGCCTTGTGGCGACCGCTGGATAGGAGTTGGGTTACACCCTTCTTCTAGCTAAGAGCCAGGACACACAATTCTGCGTGAGTCGGTTCACTGACCCATGCGCACGGCCCGCTGCCTTTCGGGTGTATGGTTTATCGAGGTCTTTGGCTGAGGACCCGAGTCGTTCACCTGTCAGTTGTGGACGCCCTGGCAGTATCTTAGTCCAGCCCCCCCCCCAGTTGTGAATTACGACCATAAGTAGAAATCCATGCTGCATCGGCCGTCGCGCAGTGTCCCTAGGAGAACGGTCGTCTTATCTGCTGCGTACAGCGGGTTGGATAAACGAAAACATGCTACCGCTGGCGCTTCCTGCCATCCTTCTTCCCAGCGCATACTCTCCCCGTCCCAGTTTCACCTTACCCATTACTTCCTCCAATCCAGGTTGTCACCACCCATACTATTGCCCTCCAACACAATCGTATACCTTCACGCAACCGCTCAACATCGGGTGCAGTAAATTGTGCGCTTTCTTCGACCGGAATACGAGTGAGCGTCTTGTGCGATGCACTGCACCGGTCGCGATGGAGCTCGCGCGCTATGGGATCGATATTGTGGTGTTGAGTGAGACCCGGCTCGCTAAGCAAATTAACTTGCATGAAGCAGGTGCTCGTTTAACGTTCTAACGAGTGGGGAACAGCACCGCCGCACGAAATAAACATGGGATCAGATTTGCACTATCCCATTGACTAAATAGTCAGCTCGTGGGTGAGCCGACAGGCATCAGCGCGCGACTGGTCACTGTTGGCCTACGACTCGGAAGAGGTAAGTTTGCCACTTTTGTAAGCACGTACGGTCCGACCAAGTGTTATCCTGATGACGCGTAATCAGTTCTATGTTCAGCTATCCTCCGTGATACGGTCTGTGCTATGGAGCGCATCCTAAAACTGGAGGCACCTCCTCAATCCATACGGGTTGCACCAACTGGCGCAGCGCATTTGCCAATATGGATCCGCCGTGTTACAACGCTTCGGATGGGATCACGTTGGCAATCGCCCATTTGCCGTTTCGCAGCTAAGCAGGTGCACTCTGCGTTTCCTCCACTGCGGACGTGTCCACCAAACTCACCTTCATCTGGTGCTGTTTCACGCTGTTCTGTGTAGGCCAATCAATCTCCGAAGGGTTGTTCAAGAGATGGTGAAAGTGAGTTCGCCAGATCTGTATCCTGTCAGCAGTCTTCGTACTGGTGGTGCCTGAAATTGGATCAAGCTGCGTCCTTGATGGCTCCATCCTCGGTTCATACACCGCCTTCAAGGAGTCAAAGAATCCATGTGTTGGCGACGTTCGGCGTAGCATACCATCTGATTCGCCTTCTCCATCCACCAAACATTTTTAATGCGACGGAGCTTTCTGGTCAGTCACCGTCAAATTCTGTGAAAATGACTCTTCCTCTAATCCCTTTCTTCTGCGACATGTGCAGCAAAAGCTGCATTCTTCTCACACACCAATGCGCCAATCGTCGCATTGTTCTCATCAAACCAATCAGGCCACTTATAGTTTGCGCGCCCGATGGTCTCCTCGACAGCAGCTGTCACCTGGTCACGACTGTGGTGCCACAGGTCGCCCACTGTGGCTATGCATTCCACATCACACAGGCGTGCAGCCATCGCCTTCCCTAGCTCAGTACGTTTCTCCACAGTATCGAGGGATATTAACTCTACGCCGAATTTCGGCGTGAGTGCAAACATAGATTTACGAAAATATATGTACACTGTGGTCCGCACCCATTGTGACCAGTAGCACACTCAGCTCCACGCAGTACACGTGTCATGCTCATTTCACGCATATCAAGCTGACGTACAATGACACAGTCGAACAGGTGAGTGTTACCACTCCGTGGGTGCGTTCAGGTTGCACTCCGTGCAAACCGAGTGTTCGTGATCGTCAGGCCGTGAGTGGCACACCGTGAAAACAGCCTGTCACCGTTCTCATTCCCTGAACCAATGCCATGCGGACCGATGTCATGTGTCCACACCGATCCATCGAGCCCAACGCGCGCGTTGAGATTTTCCACAGAAATAGTCGGTCGCTCCTCGGCACAGACCGTATCACGAAGAATAGCTGAGTGGAGAATTGATCACGCGTGTCATCCGGATACTACATGGTCGGACCGTACGAACAGTCATCAGTCGCACGCTGGTCTGTTGGTCCACCCACCAGGTGGTCATTGAGGCGATCTGATATTGCAAATCCGACCCTATGTTCACGTGGTGCTGAGGCGGCGTTGCCCACCCAGTGGAGAATGTGGCCTGCACCTGCTCAGCGAGCCGAGTCGCATTGAGCGCCGCAATATCGATGTTGTAGTGTGCCAGTTCTATCGCGACCAGTGCAGTGCAGCGCGCGGTTTGCTCACTCGAGTTTTGGTCTAGTAGTGTGCGCAAATTTCAACTCTCGATGTTGAGTTTTTTGTGCACAGTCATTCGATTGCATTGGTATGCAATCGTACGCGTGATGGCGCTTGTGCCTCGGAGGTTTGCTTAAGGGACTCTGCCCAGGGTATTTTGCTCAATTCCCTGACTCACAAGACAGTGGGTGGTTTTAAGAGTCAAGGCGCCTACACTACGTCAGCAACATAACACCACAACTAGCGGACTGTTGTGCGGAAATCCTTTTTGATTTTAATTGCTGGAATCCACCAATTTTTTCTTTTGCATATTTTTTGCTTTTATGCTGTGTATAATTGTCAAATTGTCGTTTTCCGTTCCAGAAGAGCGACCTCACAAATGCAAGTATTGTGAGAAAACTTTTTCTTTATTGAGTACTCTCCGTATTCACGAAAAATCTGTTCATTTGAGTGAGTAGAATGTTTCAGGCACCGTTGGTTTGTAACCTTCTTCCTGTGGTCGTATTGTAGCGACGAAATGTCCGATTGGAGATATTGGAAAATATTTGGAACGGACTGAGTGCACGATCCTTTCTTGTCCATTACTTTGTTATGTTTTCTCAGCTGTCTTCTCTACCGTGCAACGCGTCACACGCATCTCATTTTCAAATCCATAATGTATAGTCCTCGTTGTTTAGCCCTGTGCAGTTTTTCATGGTTTATAACCTAAGGAAGATGCTGTTTTTTCATGCACATCTTTGCGCGAATCATTTTCGAATTCTCAGGTCATTTCAATTGAGCCTGGACCTTAACGTACGATACATTTGCACAATACTGATAAGAAATTGAAGTAACGCACTGACGGATCTATCCACTTCCATGTTTGCAATGGATGACTCTTCGCCGTCCAGCTAAATGCAGAGTGGTCCGATGTTGAAATGTATTGCCTATCCTCATTGATCATCTGCCAACACTAGTATTGCTCCGCAGGCAGCGATGCCCAAAGCCTTGAAGGCTCCTCAGATCGAAGAACCAAGTTTCACTTCCATAGAATAGAACAGCCCTAACTGAGCCCTTGTAAACCCGACTTTTCAGGGGGAGGGAAACCACTTTCTCTCGCCAAATGTGTTTCGCATTCATCAAACCAGTATTGCCTTTCGTACTACGTGAACTGACTACAGTGTTCACGCGCCCATCGTTGCGGCGCGTTGCGGCGATCGACGTATATGAACTGATCAGCTATCTCGAGTTCCTCGCTATCAAAGGTCAAGGGGTCATCAAGTGACGAGTGGTCCTGTAGCAGCACTGCACTTTGAAGTTGCGTGACGTATGCCAAATAATGGAACCACTCTAGAGAGGTTACTCAGGGTTGATTGGGCCGTCCCAATATCGTCAAAAAGCAAGACAATATCGTTCTCATAATCAAGATCGGTTAACCCTCCACTGGGCGGCATCTCAACGCCTGTATCATAGGATGCCGCAAGGGAACACTCCATGATGGAGTCCACGACGAAGTTTAACAGAAATGTGGAAGTTAGACAACCATGATAAACGCCACTTGTTGTTGGAGGCATACTTCATAAGTCACTGTAGGCACTGACATATTCGAGTATGGAGCGCCTAATATGTTGTCATATTTCATGGGAATACCTTTCCACGCAAGTATTTCGTACAGAATTCACCGATCGACTGAGTCGAACGCACCATTGAAGTGGAGGAACACGGCTGTTACTGGTCGTTTGTATGCGCGACGCCGCTCTAGCACATGCTGCAAAGTGAATATTTGGTTTCTACAGGCCCATCCCGAACAGAAACGTGTTTGCTCTTCCCTAATCCATGAATCAACTTTATTCGATGTCGTCAAACGGGCTACACACAATCAGCTGCTCACAGAATCCAATCAACCAACGTTGACTCAACCTTGGAGCTGAGAACGATGCCTACCCCGGTGTGGCCAGTGATTGCCGCATCAATGTCTCCGGATGCGCGTAGCCAATAGCAAGCTGCACTCAGTTAACAACTCCGTGAATGTCATTGATCCTATTTTCGGATGCGCAACACGTCAATACCCAGTGTGTCCAACTTACACGCAAGTACGGCCTGTTGACCTATCTGATTTTGAATGCGAACGTTGAAGGGCACTGGAAACGGAGCAGCGTGGCCTTATAAAGGACTGTTGCCGATAGGTGTCCAGTGGTTGGTGCTGGAAGGCAGCTGCAGAGGGTTCGACACTAGTGACCTTACGGCTGTTGTCAATTAAGCTGGGAATTATCGAAAGATAGTAGTGTGGTTGAGATTGGGGTAACAAACACAGGTGGAGAAGAAGTAAGGCGCCAGCATTGACATGTTTTCGCTTACCTGGCCTGCTTTACGCAGCACGTAAGGCGACTCTTAATAATCGGCACGGTGGCTAATGCAGGATGTGGTTGAAGTTTGGAGAAATTGTCATGGTTGCATGTGGGTTGCGATCCAGCTCGCCCAGACCTAGACACGAGGGCGATTAGGGTTCTCAATAGCCTCTCCGAAAGGATACAGTTTTTCAAAATCGGTTGCCATCCCATTTCAACCGAGTTTATCTGACCTCTAACCATTGACCAACCTGGTATGAGTAGTTCTTAAGGAGCCCAGGGCACCACCCAGTATAGCACAGTGGGTCATAGAAGCACGCAAACCGTAGTAGTACGTTAAGGTCTAGTGTCGCTTCGACGAGGCTGTTTCACTTAATCGCCTTTGTTGTATACATCTTTTCTCCCCAGGAGACCACCCTCTGCGGCTGGCAGCAAACTGTTCTCATTTGTCTTTATTAGTGGCCGGGCATCCGTGCTCAATTGTGTATGCGACTTTGTAATTGTCACGCAGTAACGTCTGTTAGCCTGTCCGCGCCACAACATTCGCAGGGAAGTGAATTTGTTAGATCTTTGCGGATCACTTTTTCTTCCGTATGATACATTGCGCTTTCGGGTAGTTTTTTCATAAAAATCCCGTCAGCCAAAGCAGCCGTACTCCCTAGTCCAAATCTGCGTTTCTCTGAAAGAAGCATATTCACCATGTTTTGTTCTGCGGTTTCGACGGGCTCAACGAGGTTTCTTATCGCTTGCTCTGATTAAATTCTTGCTGTCTCATAACAGCGGAATATCGTTACCATGTTTTGGTTTTCATCTGTGACCTTAGCAACTCACCAAGCGGTTTTTATATGGATTGTTGGGACCATCTAATAGCGCACATCATGAGCGAGATATATATGACGATTCTCGAAGCTTCATTGTACCAAGACATCGCGCATTCCTTATTGGTTTCATAATAGCTCGTGTATGTGTGCGTGTGGGGTATCGAGAGGTGATTGAATCGTAGTTTTATGTTCATCATGGCTGTTAGTAATTACGAATACTAATTATGTCTTGGCAGCTGTCGGTGAAAGCTAACATTACACTTGTACTTTCGCGATCAGCTCACGCCGGACGGTTATATGTTATTCACTGCGGATGATGTCCGCACGATTCATCACTGCGACTCAGTGTGCCATTGCTCCTTGTCGCAACTCACCGTTGTGCACATCAGGCCTGTCGGGCAAGCATGCTACATTTATCGCGACTTTACTGGATTTGGAGACGTGTATCACGACCTAATGCGCATGGATGGTTAGAGGCATATTAACGGCGAAACTAAAGATTCAAACCGATGTTTTGCCGCGTTTTGGACTAGTTAGATGGGATAACGAAATTTCGGAACAGGAGGCAGTGTTCGATTCCCAGCAGATTTTTTTTACCTTACCTCTGAAAGTGTTAATGATTTTTGTGTAAGTTGATACCGAGTACACTATCTGTCAGAGCACTGCGGCCAGCTGCTTTGACTCTCGGAATACGCCTGAACGCCTGATTGATTTTGCCTTGAGTGCATCGAATGGAATGCCACAGCCCAAGGGGTACTAACACAATGAATACAAGACTGGGCGAAAACGAGAAGGAAAACATACCGATACCAATTGTCCCACTGTTGAATTTACATTTTTTAACTACGGACACAGGTTTTAGTGGTGTGTGTTTGTGTGAAACAGGCGACGGGAACAGGTTTTTTACAACACAAAAACAATGTTCGGATTGCAAGCACAGATCTTTCCGACGCGAAATATGATCTCTTGTTGGAAAGTAACACACTGGCCTTCTGCTCAGTTCAACGTTCCGTTTTTGTGCACAGTTAGCAAACATCGAAGTAGTTCTCCTGGCACCAGCCGGGTTACACTTCATGGGTATTATGCCACACTGCGTTCCGTTTTTTGGCTGTACACCTTCCTCCCCTTGAGAGAATATTAATCATTAGAGCGTGTGTGTTTACCTGTAAACGTGTAACTGGCCTCTGGATCCGGTGAGTGCAACCTCTTGGTTGAAAATTCCTTTCTCGTGAGACTGCTGCCCACTCCTCGCCAGGACATGCTTGGAGCTTTATTGTGTATGTCGATGCTTCACAACAGATGATCAAGTGGTGGGGGGGGGGGCAGTTATTTGTACTCTCACGGATGTTTGTGTACCACTGATTTGCATGTCTACCCCAAATTAAACCATTTACTTTAACTTTGTAGATCACTTTTCCTACCCCGTACTGAATTGAGCCTGTTATCCGTAGTGGCTTACCCACGACAAACCTGTTTTATTGACTGCAGGCGTTCAGATGCATGGGGCGACAACCTTAAGCATAACTGTTCGAATAGAGGTGAAGACTCAAGGCTTTGCTTAACTCGGTGGAGGTGGATGTGAGGGCAAAGAGGGAAGGATTCGATTAGAATAGCCAAATGGGATATGAAGCCGGTGCTGAGAGGGGAACAGATTAGTCAGTCGATCACGAAACGAGCGGACTGCAGTTGGCCGCACCATGCGCTGTCTTCTGAACGTTTATATCGCTCATCTAGATCTCTTCATGCTTTGTGCTTTTTGGATGTCGTGAACGAATAGGAATATTGGATACCTTGTTTGCTACCTGATGTTGGTGTGTACGCTTCGCAATCTTTATCTCGTCTTTCTTTTCTATGTTCTGTGATCCTCGAACACAGTCAGCCTTGCATGCCGAATCCTTGAATTTCGTGGCCACTATGAAGTCTTCGTCGTTCGCAATTTAGGTGCACCCGTTGTACTAAACCATACGCTATCCTCAGTCAGTTTTTCTGTGCGTTTCGCCTGTAACTGGTTGTTTTCGGTTCTGTGCTCCAGAACAACGTCCCTATATTTGTGAACATTGTGGCAGATCGTTCTCTATGAAGGACAATATGCGAAATCACTTCAACTCTGTTCACCTAAGCGAGTGCGAGTTATGGTTGCTTTATGTCTTTTGCATTGTGTCGTTTTTGTCGATATTACTTGACTTCGGTAGAATCGACGCCGCCGATTATCACAGCTTTTTGTTTTGTTACTCTTACTGCTCAGGAAAGTTTTGTCTGCAAACTATTCACTTTCACAAATTATTACAATGACATCTAGCTAGCGTGTCAATTGGTTTGGCTCTTCTTGTGATTAAATGGTTGCCAGCATCCGTTTTCGGATTTGCTTGTCACTGGAGCTGCGAGCGATCCCATTACGCCTTCACCCTACAGAAAAACCACCGGCGGCTTGTGTTGCGTAACCCTACAGCTCCATCCACTCATCCTCGTATCCAGTGTAAATTCGACGGGATAAGACTTAGAAGCATGTTTTTGGGAGTATCAAGGAGAAAGTTGCATCCTTTTGCGGAAAAACTGAACAGTTGGAACGATTATTTCCGCCTAGGCGCGCTGCGATCTTTGTGCCACATTATCGCGTTTTATCTTTTTCTTCTTCACGGTTACATAATGTGTGTTCGGAGCTCTGAATATGGAGATGATCGACTCTGTGAGTACTACGCGGTAACTCGATCTTTTGGCGTGCCATACTGATCGAACTTTTTAGCTGAAATATTGCGGAAAACGGTGTTTGAACAAACACTTGAAGCGAAATTTGACTATTGTCAAATTTCCTCTGATCCAAGGTATATTGGATCGATTAAAGTGGTATTGGACATAGCATCTACTTGATGTTTACTGGTAACTTTTGCGATTTTCCCCTGTTTAGTCCTCTTTTACACCCCTTTTTGCCATTTTTGTGGTCGTTTTACGGTTGTATACGTGTTTTTAATTTCTGCTCCGTTTTCCACTTGGTCGTTTTGCTAAATACCGAGGCAGATAAAATCCTTGGGTCCACGTTTAATGAGTCCAATGCAGCTTGCGGCAATTCTGCCTGTTCAAGACCAGTTACGGATTCACCTGGTTTATTTGCAGTGTGATGTTTGCTCCCGCTGGTATCACAAAAGTTGTACCGGCATCCGAGCGAACCAGTACAAAATGCTATCATCCAGTGAAAACCATCTTTTAAGATGTGCTGAATGCTGCGCTCAGAAAGCAAAGCTACCGGCTCAAGCTCCGCCCAAGAAGGAACACTCAAGGCATTTTCCCATCGTTCCAGTTCCATTTATCTAAACTTTGTTTCCATCCTAACCTGGAACCAGATGCCATAATGATTTTGAAATGCGATGAAGACTTCCTGTTGATATTCAAGCGTAGAACAACTTTTTTTCTTAAATTTTGTATGTTATCCTTGCGCAGGAACCATTGCAACCTTCACTGGATTTTGGAATGCACCCTCCATCAAATTCACGAGCATCGAAGACACTTTCCACCAGTGACCAATTTCCTTCTGTCAGACCACTTAAGATTGCCAGACCATACCGATAACTGCCCTCTGACCAGCATCTTCTGTTCTCCATTTGACCCTGACTGGAACCCACAGAGTACACGAGGACGTAGGGACCTTTGACCTCTGTAACTTTTTACCAATGAATGCAAGTTACGTAGTCTCTGTATGTAACTTGCCCATGATCGGCATAAGATGTTTGTAGAAACTTTTGAGTCAAAAATGAAGCGTTGAGTTATTAACAAATATATTAACTGGTCGCTCATTAAGCCTTTTGAGATGATGACTTCCCGATCGGTTCCCAATATATTCTACGAATCGAATAAAGTTCACTATATCCTCAAACTGATCGCAGCTCTTTCGAGCATCTTGAAACTGCATTGGTATTTATGGGAGATATGGTTGTTGAATTGACATCATCTAACAAGCTGATGGTGGCTTACCTTGAGCTGGTCTCTTGAAATCCGCGGCTGGAATCTGATCAAATGCGAACTCATTGGAATATGTCTTGGTGTCTTCGACCATGCCTGTATCGTGTTACCAGTTTATGATTCCCTGAGCCTCCTCAATGACAGTTTGGATTTGACCGTCCAGGTCTCGTTCCAACAACCCGAGTACTTTGGTTCCCATCGCGGCATACTTGAGAGACTGCATGCTTTACATCATTATCAGGGACTCAATGTAATATTCACTGGATCTTTGATTAAATGATCTATTGCAAAAGAAGTTTGTGTGTGTTTTCCCTTTCACCGGGCCTATTCCATGTGACTGCAGAAGACTGTTACACCACTGGCCAACAAACAGATGGTTGCGGGTTACTCTTAAATTGCCGGCAACCTTACGTCTGTCCGGTGTTTCGACTTATCGGCTACCGGCTCATGATCTAGTCATTGGCTAGATCTTATGCAAGCCGACATATTGTCCGTACACTTCACTCACCAGTTGTGTTCAGCACAGAAAGCCAGGGTCATTTGCGACTGCGCACAGCGATGGTCGATGGATTATCATCTGGTTATCGCAGCCCATTTTAGCAACTTTCAAACGGTCAAATGTGGCCTACATGACACAATGTATGCTGCACCATCTTTTACTAACATACATTGAACTTGCTAGTATTTATCAAAACCCCAGGTGTTTAGTATTTTTAACAATTGGCATTTTCGAATCTGATTCATTAGATCACATTGACCTGGAGAGAAACGTTATCTGATTTTCGCCGACTTCTATGCACGCTATCGGCACTGTGTCTTCGTAAGTTAGCTTTGCATCGTGAAAATTGTTGTGAGCAGTGGGTTAAAATAGATCTACCCATGTGAATAAGTAGTTCCAATGTTGTGTTCGCAATTAGTGTGGCGAATGGTCTGGCGTATCGCAGTGTATCAAGATGCAAACTCCAACTGATTTTCATTACCGAATTATATGTTAGCAGTCTGGTATAATATATTGGAATATGTTTGGAACCGACTGTGATTTCATGATTTCAGAAGGTTTTGTATACAAATCGGTTTTGGTAGAGTTTTATTGTGGCAACGTTTCGCCCTTGACACAAGAGCTTCTTCAGGCCTGAAGAAGCTCTTGTGTCAAGGGCGAAACGTTGCCACAATAAAACTCTACCAAAACCGATTTGTATGCAAAACCTTCTGAAAGTCTGGTATAATATTTCAGACGAGAAACTTAGTACTTAGGTAGGGTGATATCCCTCACCTCTTACTAATCATCGTTTGATCAGTTGTATGCGATCGTTCTGATTGTATTCGCCGTAACCCACTAGGTTTCCTCTAAAAACGTTGACTATTCTTTTATGCTGTGCACAACTATCAAGTTCTTGGTTTCCGTTCCAGAAAAGCGGCCTCACCAATGCAAGTACTGTGAGAAAACGTTTTCTCTTGCAGGTAATCTCCGGATCCACGAGCAGTGTGTTCACCTAAGTGAGTAGAGCGTTGTATGCATCGTTCGGTTGCAACCTTTTTATCTTGGTCTAGCGGTGGAGATGTACTGTCCGACTGTAGTTACCGGAAACTGTTTAAGACCGATGAAATCCCTGATTCTTTTATGTATATCTCTTTGGTTTGTACCATGAGCCGACCTCTTTGACAGATGATACGCGTCACAGGCTATTGCATTGCGTTAACATAGATGTTGCTCACCACTGGAGTTTTACAGTCCGTATGATGTCTGCACGATTCATTAATGCGACTCAATGTGCTCTTGCTGCTTGTTGGACCTCATTACTATTGTGCACATCAGGCCTGCCTGCCTGCCTGGCATGCATGCTTCAGTTCTCGCAGTATGAGATATCAATACCTTTTTGCTCCTTTTGAAACGAGTATCACGATTTTAGGTGTATGGATGACGAAACGCAAATTAACAGAGGCACTAACGATTCAAGTCAATGTTTATCCGTTTTAGATTAGGTAAGTGGAATAGCGAAATTGGGAAACATGAGACAATATTGGTTCACCAGCGGGTTTTCTACCGTGCCCATATGAAAGTGCCTCCAATTGCTGATGATGTTGATAGCGAGATCACGATCTCCAAGGACATGTACTACATCATTGCAGCAGTTGATCTGTACGTGTGTTTCGCTTCATGCATTTCAGGTGTTGTCTGTTGCATGATATACCCGTTATGGCTGCGCTTTATGTGAATAATGACAGGGTGCCTATCCATCGGAGTAATGGGGACCAGCTAGATTGGGGCTGTTGTCATTCCATCCACGTGCTCGAGTCTGGTACAATGTCACCTAATATCGCTCCTCGTGAGAAGTGGTTGATCTTTACACAGGAAGACTAGCACGCCGCCACGTTAAGTACGTGTTCAATATTCTCTGATTTGCTTTCGAAATGGTCAGCTGTTTGCGCATCGCGTAACTTTGAAGGTGCGGACGAATTCTTAAATCGATGTGCGATAAAGTTTTTTTGTATTAAACTATGGGGAATCCGCCACCTAGTTAAGTTCAGATTCGTGGGAGTCTGACTGTGAAGGACAGGGACTCTAGTCGTTGTATCGGTCGACGTGTTGCTTCCCGTTTCATATCAGGTGACTTGATTTTGCTTTGAACGGCGCTATGTTTATTGGGCATGAGGTATTCGGGAATGCATAGGTCAAGCTAACTCACGGCGCTTGATGGAATGAATAGTCCCGGGTTGAAGACCTACTACCTCCACCTGATGAAGTCAAATAAGGTCGAAACGCGTCTTGTATCGCAATGTTTTCGAAGTGCAGTTGGAATTTAATGCCAGCATGTTGAAGTAAGAGTAAAGCGTAACTCTAATCGGGATGGTATTTTGCCAGTTAGCTGCAAGGGGCCTAAGGTAGGAGCATCACTGACTATGATAGTACGCTATCTCTGATCAAGTCCCAAACCACTGCTGTGGAGTATATGTGGGTCCCATCCACGAGGACAGCACGCAGCAGTCTGGTTGTTCTTCGGTCAATTTCTTCTTGCCATAACTCCACGTCATCAACGGGACACCTCGGATTTGCTGCCAGCAGGGTGCGGCCCCATCGTTTTTTCCACAACGAGGGATTTTCTGGAGCGCGGCCACTTGTTGAATGCTTTTAGTTCGAAATTACGAGGTCTCTGATCCACACACACACAGTAACACCTGATAGTATCACGCCGTCTCCACAGATTGTTGCGTCTCTGTAAAGGCACAAGGGCTTCGATGAAACGCGAATTAGTCTCCTCACTGGTGAGACCACCAGAAGAGACACAGTTGCCATGGAAGGGGAACCAATGCACGACGCAATGGCTTTTCGGTGACTACAAGAACCGGTGGCGTATCGATCTAGTCTTGCAACAGTACTTTGAGCTGGCTAGTTGAACAACCTCCTCGTGGTGCCAGCTGGGTGGTTCGGGTTTAACCCATTCCAGCAAATAGTTCCCCGGCAGTGTTCCAGGACGTGGTTGGTATTCGCCTGGCAAGCGTTCTCCCTATATAAAGCCACAAATTTCTGCTTATCAAAAAGGCGACGTGACGGATGTGAATCGCCACAAACTAAGGTCACTTCCATGTGGATATTTGGAAAATGCCATCCAACCCACGGACATCAATCGCTTATTCTCACATTCCTGACGGTAACAAATAGTCAGAAATGCTGCGGCACAAACACAAGTTACATAACTACATTCATACACAGTTGGTTGGCGGCATCCGGTTTCGGGTTTGCCTGTCACTGTGGCAAGCCACAGGACGCCTGCGCCTACAGAGGGAGCATGGGTGGCTTGCGCTGCACCACCCACAGCTCCAACCACACACCCCATATCCAGTGTAAACCCGAAGGAATAAGACCGGGAGGCATGCGGATGGGAGCCACGTTTCATCAACGGAGCCGGCCCACACTCCTTCACAGGCAAACACAAGCACGCTGTATTTGGGAATCAAGCGCGCACAAGGCAGTGGCTGGACCGTAGTCCACTCCACACTGAGTGCATGGAACCACTCTTTGATCCTAACACGGCCACAAGGACCGTGTATCCCGTCCCCTCCAGCAACGACCAACTGTCTCCTGGAGCCAGTATGGACGAGGTAGTGGGTAATAGACAGGTAGGCACCTTGTCAACATGCGCATCAAGCGCAGCCACACCGGGGATATCAAAAAACAGCCAATCGCTTGAGAGAGAGATACAAAGAAAATAACTCGATTAATGCATAAGGAAACGATGACATAAACCTTAAGTTAATGAGCGTATGAAATAAGCTGCTTACAAACGAATCCTAGCTAAGTTCACGAGGTCAGAAAGTATACTTTACGAAAATGCCACGAACACAAAAATGTTATGGAAATCGAATACAATTGGCTTAAGCGAGGTGTGCAAGTTAATGGAATAGAGTACAGGTAGACATTTATATGAGAAAGAAAAGCATTAAGGCAAAATTGAAAACCCACCACCTGAAATAAAGAGACTTAGCATGCAAGCACGCGGTTAGTAAATCGAATGCAGCGTACCTACAAACGCTGCGCCGGTTCTGCCTACATTCTCTGCAGGACCCGTCGTCGCTTCTGTAGTGGTCCCGAGTGGCCTCGCTCATGGCTCACTAGACACTAGACATTTACACAGTTACATACGTATATACACTTATAACATACATTCACTGTTATGCCAGACATGTATTTTTGTACATTTTTGATTACACTATGTGTGCGTCGCATTGCGGAGAATAAAAGTTTCTTTATTTCCTTATGAAAGGCACATGCCACTGCGTTTAATCTGAGGGAAACCATATTGTCCACATTCCCATGGTTTGTCAGTCGGTCACTTAGCAGAAATCCCGCCCCAGAGGATGGATAGAACAACGGCAGCCTTGTTCGTGAGATCCCAAGCGACGCATGCTATTCATGCCCGGAACTTCAGGTGGAGGCTTGCTGTCGTCGTTAGTGAGTAGAGGGAGGATTTATTGGGTCAGACAGCCACCACACGATCTCCTCTTACTCGTGATTCCAGTGCGAAGAGTGCATGCGTATAGCATGAGCTCGTTCCATCAGGTATACCAAATTCATCTGAAAGCCGTGAAAATGAACAATGGAAGAAGCCGCCGTCGACGCGCTGATCTCATGGACCAGCCTTATGTTTACAATCCCCCATCACAGTTTGTTCGCTATCTTTTGAAACTTTGTCTGGCGTGCTCCAGCTGAAGTTAATCGCGCAATGTAGCCGGTTTGAATGACGCCGGATTTTCCCTCTCTGAGTTTGCCATTCCCATGTAGCGTATCTGAATTATGGCATTTCTAGCCTGAACTTAATTATAATGAAAAACCTACAAGATTATGCGTTTAGTCATTTGGTTTGCATAATACGTCTCATGTTCGTCGAGCGATGACGTGATACCCACAAATACTGTGCTCATCATCTGATTTACGTTTGTCTTTCTGTGTATACGATAGCAGGCCCATGGATAAACGGTTCATGTTTATAGCAAAGGTTATTTTTGTAATTAGGATTTTCACCCGGGGGTTCTTGTTAGGCTATGACTTTTCAAACCTGTTTCTCCTCTATTTTGCTTGGTTTTCGGACTCTGTGAAATAGAGCGATGCGACGACTTGGCAACTGCCACTTAGACGCCTGCTGTGGCTCTACATTTACAGTGGAAACGGAACATAGTTCTTCGGCTAGGTTATCATTCCAGCCAACATGATGTGTAGACGCGTTACGGGCCACCCTGCTTCTTTCATTCCAAAGCATTCTATCATTATTGATCGATGATCGTGATGGTGTCCAGAGAGAGCTTTCCTCAGTCCCTTTTATTGAGATTCCCGACCAATTAATTTTCAGCTGGCTTGTTGACATCGTTACCAACATCATAAATGCCTAGAGCTCCTGAGCCACTATCGCCCGAGATGCAAAGCACGCAGTCGTTGTCGATCGCCTCGGTATCATCGATTCCTTATGAGGTTGCCATCTTGTAAACGTGTTACAACGCACATCACTTTCTAGGGAGTAAAGAGTAAGCAATGTCCGTTTGACAAATCGGGTGCAACATATTGACGATGAACGAACAAACGGGGACATATGACACCTGGTTTGAGTGCGTCGATAGCACTACTTACAAAGTCAGCAGCAAATTCTTCCTCCAAAGACAGAGAAGGGGGAATTTTCAGGAGTAGAACTGGACACCATGAACGCGCACTGACTACTGGGTCTAGAGGGCAAGTGATGCTCCTCAGCTGCCGATTTCGAGAAAAGTACTCTCTCTCTTTCTCTCTCTCTAGCTTTTGACTCAACCGTGCGACGTCGTGATGTTTAGGGTTGGAGAATATTTATTGACGTAGGCTTAGATTGAGATGCCAACACGATACCGTTGTGCGGCTGAAATGATTCTACGAAGTGTAGGTGGCAGATTTACCTGAAGGGTCTTGAGCAAAGTGTGTCCCTCATACCCCAAAGCCGTTTCAGCATACGGCACTGCTTCGTTGCGAATCGCAGCATTATGTACCTTAAGCGCAATTACGTAACAGCAGCTCACCGTTTGTTCAAATATCCAGCAAATGTGGCTCCAAATGACACGTACAGTCAGTAACGTCATCTCAGCACGCTGCGTTTTCTCTGACAAGTTGAGCCAAGGGAAACGTGTCCGCAGGGACCGATAGGGTAGACTGCACGCACGATCTGCACTCGCTTTAATATCCCAAGAGTGTGGATCACCAAGCCTACGGTGGCTTGCGGTGTCAGATGTGACAGCCATGAACCACACTCATGCTTATGTTCAGACAATATAATTTCACCGCACATACGACCCACAGTGTTACGGTCATGAGCAGTACTCACATCAGTGTCCAAGCAGTGATGCCAGATGTTCATCAGTGTTGACAGATGATCATTGAATCTACTTGTTAGAGTGTTTGTGGGCTTCGTGACCGCGATCATTGGACAGCGTTGACAGCTGGAGTAGGGGATCATACTTGAGGCACCCAGAATTGCGTTGAAAGGCTCACAGAGGTTGGAGTCACCACTCTTTATACGTGGCGCACTGGGTTCATGGGAATAAAGTCGTTCCAATGCGTTCGTTGGCGCTGAGAACAAAAGAAGTCTCGTGGCGATGACATATCGGCAGACATGTTGTGTATACTTAGTCGGAAGTGGAAGCATTTCACCATTGGCTGACCAGACGCGGGTGGATCAAATTCGACTATTTCTGTCACTGGAAAGAAGTCGACCGTCTGCGACAGTTGCGTTTTCCACTGACTAGCAGTGTGGTCTCATTGAAACACATTTCATCTTAAGGCAATAAGATTGTACAAAAATATAAAGCATATTGCCTGATGCATACTATGGGTGGAAACAGAGTGTAGATGACGTGCTCTATCCATTAGCTATCCGTTTTTAGTTTCGTATTGCGGCACATTATCCGAAATGTGTTGCTTCGCATCAGCTAGCGTGTATTGTTGTATGATATCATACGCTTCCAGTCCAATGATGGCCGCACACCAACAACCTTTGGTCTTCATTGCAAATCTTCTAGTATGCTTATAGTCTTCCTACACTGTTACGTGTGTGTCCCTATTCTAACAAAACATCTGTTCTGTAGCCGTGTTCCACCCTTGAGATTCATCTGTGAGTATTCACTTTCTCTTCCCCAATTCAGCGGAGCGCCCTTACACATGCGAACAGTGTGGTAAATCGTTTTCCCATAAGTGCATTATGCGAAAACATCACAAAGCTGTTCATTCAAGTGAGTGTTTTACTTATGGTGCCAGTTAAATTCATTTTTACTGCTTGCGTTGTACCGTCGTAGACGGTGTCACGTGGCTTCGGTTTTATTAGCCATACTACTTGTGATAGCTTCTTGTTTTATTCTTATCACGACCCAGAATCATGTAGTTCCCCGGGGTGTTCAATTTTTCAAGTCCGCCACCGCGTTGGCTTTAGGAACAAAGGCAAAACACAAATAACAACGGAGAATACACATTATTATTATTGTTACTGTGTCTAATGATGATTATTACAAACTTCTGCTAAACATTTTTCGCATTTATGATTGCTTGCTACTCTTTTGTAGAAGATGGACACAGCTTCGACTGATAACGCAGTCGCACAAATGGGATTGAAACAGTAGCGGCAGATACAAGTCACTTCATAGTGTGGCGATGTCCTGCAATACATGAGGCGTGATTGGAACGAAGTTCCTCAATTCTGTGGTCTCCCAATGTGAATGGACACAGGCGCTATTTTGACGTTTACCTGCTATTGGCTTTTTGCAGACACACATCAGATATCGACATGAATATGCCTGCAGCACTCTGTGGAAATTACCCTCTGTTTGCATTTGGCTGCCGCCGCCACTTTTGCCAGTACTTTTGATACATCTCTACTTTTGTACCTAATTTTGTCTTTTTCTGTCTGTCGCGATGTGTTGGTCAAGCAAGGCGTTACAGTTATAATGCGGTAATGTGTTGCAGGTCAGTTTGAACTACGTAAGTTCAGTGAAAACGTTCGCAACATGATCAAACGTGTACTTCTGGACTCACCATGATGTATATACCATTTTTACTTTAAATTGGACCTTTTGCAAGGTATTTTGGCCGTTTTGCAAAACCGCCTGAACACTTTTTAAAATAAATTGGTTACATTACGCTCTAAGCAGAAAATCAGTGCACACCGTCCTTGTGACAGGCTCAAAAGCAATCCCATGGATCCTGCATAGTACGGGCTGCGACCCATCCACCGCTTTGTGTATGTGGTATTCATGAATTCCCAGATAGGCATGAGTGCTTCTGCTCTCTTATTTGAGAGAGTATGAGCCGGCTCCGTTGATGAAACGTGGCTCCGACCGCATGCCACCCGGTCTTATGCTTTCGGGTTTACACCGGATATGGGGTAGGTGGGTGGCGCAGCGCAATCCACCTATGGTCACTCTGTAGACACAAGCGTCTTATGGAGGCCGCAGTGACAGGCAAATCCGGAACCGGATGCCACCAACCGTGGTGCGCTGAGGTTTGTCGTGATCTGATCCTGACAGATGGCCGATCCACTGCTCCTAATTTCGTGCCGTAGACTCATGTCTTGGACGCCTGGTGGCGATCACTGAGTGGGAGTTTGGTTGCACCCTTCGTCCAGCGAAAAGGCAAGACAAACACTTCCGCGTGTGTGGGTCACTGTCCCATGGCGCTTGGCCCGCTACCCTTCAGGTGTACACTTTACCGAGGACTTTGGTTGAGGACCCGTGTCGTTGTCCTGTCTAGCGTGGACTCCCTGGCAGTATCCTAGTCCAACCCACAACCATGAATTGCACCATTACAACTAATCTACATTGCATCGGCCGTCGCGCAGTGATATTAGGAAAGGGGTCCCCTTGTCTGCTGTAGACAGCGCGGTGCATAAGCGAAGGTATGCTACCACTGGCGCCTTCCCTCTTTCTTCTTTCCATACATGAAGTGTTCGTCCCTCACCTGAATGGACGCTTGATTGCCGATCAAACCCGAAGTCGCTCCCCCCCTCCACAGGACAGAGGGAAGACCGGATCGGACGAGCAGATCAACAGGAATGAATTAGCAAATCACACCGTTCAATATAAAGGTAAAATGGAAAGTTCCTGAATAGTATATAAGCGATCGTGGAAAGCTCTGGAAAGGTTAACTTACAGCCAATAAAGGAACTTCGACCTAGCCGCTTCTCCTGGTTGGCTTTCTGTTCGCTTCAATCAGGGCGGATGATTTTGGATCGCCGGCCGCAGCGATGGGGTCCTGGCTTGTTCGACTCGCGTATTCCTTCCTAACAATACACATATTCTTCCCCTTCCCGTTTCACCTAACGCACTGCTTCCTCAAGTCCAGATCGTCATCACCCATACGATGGCAGGCTAACGCAGTCGTATGCTTCCGCACAAAGCGCTCAATATCGGGTGCTCGAACGTGTGCACACTACTCGACGGGCACACGAGTGAGCGACTGCACTGCACTGCTGTGGGATCGATATTACTGCAATCAATGAGACCCCGCTCGCTAACCGATGGAAGGTGCATGAGGCTGGTGCTGGGTACACGTTCTACTCAGTGTGGGAGGCCACCACAGTACCACATAAAGATGGGGTCGGATGTACGCTATCCGATCGCCTAAGTATCTAGCTGGTGGCAGAGTCGAGTGGCATCAGGCCACGTCTGATGACTCTCCGTTTGCGACTTGGAAGAGGTGAGTTTGTCACTTATGGTCTTACCATATGTTATCCTGATGACGCAAGAGATCAGTTTTATTGTCTGTTTTCCTTCGTCATACGGTCTGTGCCGAGGGGCAACCGACTTTTCGCTGCGTGATTTCAACGCGTTCGTGGATCCTGATGCATCGGTGTGGACAGATGTCATCGCACCTCATGACATTGGTTCAACGCATACGATCAGTGACAGGCTGCTCTTACTGTGTGCCACTCACGGTTTGACGATCAAGAAACACTCGGTTTGCACTGAGTGCGAGTGCTATAGCAACTTGGACGCACCCACGGAGTGGTCACGCTCACCTGCTCGATTATGTCATCGTACGTCAGCGTGGCATGCGTGGAGTGCGCATGACACATATACTGTGTGGAGCTAAAAATGGCACTGCTCATAAGTTGGTGCAGCCAAAGTCGTACATCTACGTGCAGTACGGTAAATTTTATGTGTCTGCCATGAACCGGAGGCTTAACTTAAACATTCACTCCCTCCGTTCTGTGGGAAAGCGTATTGAGTTGGAGATAGCAATGGCTGCACACCTGTGTGATGTGGACTACATAGCCACAGTGTACGACCTTTGACACCACATTATCTACTAGGTGACAGCTGCTGCTGTGGAGACCACCGGGTACGCAAACTGTAAGCGGCCCGATTGGTTTGATGAGAACAATGCGACGATTGTCGCATTGATGTCTGAGAGTAATGCGGCGTTCGCTGCACATGTGGCGGACCCTGATGACTGTGAGTAGTCGAGTCATTTTCGCCAACTTCGACTGCGATTGACTCGAGAGCTCCGTCGAATCAAGCATGCATGGTGGACGGAGAAGGTGAGGCAGATGTAGTGCTACGCCGAGCGCCATACCGCATAAAGAATTTTTCGACTTCTTGAAGACTGTGTTTGGACCAACGTTGCAGCCGCTGAGGACGCGGCTGGATCTTATTTCAGTCGCGGCCTACACATATACTGCATACATAATGCAGATCTGGCGAAAGTACTTTGTTTATCTCTTGAACAACCGTTCCGAAATTGACTGGCCTACGTTGCACAGACTACAACATCAGTAAATGTAGATGTGTCTTGCCGACATAACGACATTGGATGGGACGCAGAGAGCACTTGCTCAGCTGTGAAACGGCAAGTGTACCGATGCCAACGGGATCCCCTCTGAAGTATTGAAACACGGCGGACTCTCGTTGGAAATGCTCTGCGCTACTTTGTGCAACTCGTGTGCATTGGAGAGGATGTGCCCGCCGAGCTAAAAGATGCCTTTGTGCTACCAATGTGCAAGCGCAAAAGAGGCGAGCAATGTTGCAGGAATTATCGTGGCATCAACTTGCTGAGTTGTGCGAGGAAGATGATTGCACAAATCCTACTCAACCGCCTCGTCACTCAAGTAGTGGAATCGAATGTGGCAGAAGTGCAATGTGGTTTCCTTTCGGGTCGAAACACCATAGACATGGTGTTGGGGGCTCATCAGTTGCAGGAGGAAAGCAGAGAACGACACCAGCCGTTGTACTCGCTGTTTGTTAACTTCACCCAGACATTTGATACATCGAACCGCGAGGCATTGTTGCTGGTGTTGGGTAAGTTTGGTTGCCCGCGTAAGCATGTAAGTTTAATTGAATTTCTGCACAATGTTATGGCGCCGAGGGTGCAGCTGTGTAGACAGATCTCAGATGACTTTGCAGTGATCTCTGGTGTAAAGCAAGGCTGTGTCTTAGCTCACCCTCTGTTTTATATTTACCTCCATGCAATGTTGTCATGCGGTTTTTGATTACGGTGTCCATGTAGAGCACCATATTAATGGTGGGTTGCTGATCGTCGGTCGTTTCGGGGCGAGAACCCGAGTGTCTGTGACAACTATCCGTAGGTTGTTTGCGGACAACTGCTTTTTTGCAGGTGAGCTGCAGCACATGTCTTCAGCTCTTGCTACGACAGTGACCAAATTCGGGCTCACCATCAACACAAGCTAGACCTTCTGCCTTTTCCAGCTTTCACCCGGAATGGAGTCCTTGGGCCTGCGCCAGGTAGCCGACGAAGTGTTGTAAACCACTGTGATATCTTACTACCTTGGTAACGTAATAACAACCGACCTGCAGATGACGAAGGAGCTGCGCAGCCGCGTAGCGAAGGCGGCTGCTGTATTTGGCAAGCTGGAATATTGTGTGTGTGTGCAACAACCACCAACTCACTGTTGAAACGAATCTGCTGGTATATAAGTCGATGATGCTGCCCGTTCTTCCATACGACAGCGACACCTGGACGCTTTTTCGGAAGTATGTCATTTATCTGGAGCGTTTACTATCAACAGTGTCTGCGTCTTATTATGCGCCTCAGCTGGAGTGACCGAGTTGCAGACATGGAGTTGCTCCGACACAGTGGCATATGTGCAGTGGATTGTATACTTCTGCTGAGATGCACCTGTGTTAGCTCGGGCTTGTTCACCACATGGATTCGACACGTATACCGAAACAGCTGCTTTTTGGACAACTGTTTGCAGGGTGCTCACTTTGGAAAACTGAAGTCAACTTACCAGGAGATGATGGGGCTTTGTTTATCACGGACTAATGTTAACTTCTGGTGTTGGCAATCGATGGCAGTAGATCGGCGCCGATAGCTAGAGCATATCATTGGGGGCATCAAAAACACATCATTGCATGCAGAAAAATATTATACAAGGCAGGAGCTAAGACACAGCCCTGCTTCACACCAGAGATCACTGCAAAGTCATCCGAGGTCTGTCCACTCAGCTGCATCCTCGCCCGCAAACCACTGTGCAGACATTCAATTAAACTTACAAACTTACTCGGGCAACCAAACTTATCCAACACCAGCCACAATACCTCGCGATTCACCGTATCAAATACTTTGGTGAAATCAACGGACAGCCAGTACAACGGCTTGTGTCGTACTTTATATCTAACCCGCAGCTGACGAGCCGCAAACACCATATCTATAGTGCTGCGACCCGAACGGAATCCACATTGCTCTTTCGCCACGTTCGGTTCCACAACCTGACTGAGGAGGCGGTTGACCAGGATTCAGGCAATCACCTTGCACACACAACTCAGCAAGTTGACAAAATTATGATCGATTTATTAATATTTTCATGCATGGCTCGAGCGATGAGTTGTACAGCAATATGCCAAGAGGAGACAAATGTCCCGCCATACTAGAAAACACTGATTAAAATAAAATTTTCAAACAGTGGTCGGAACCGCGTCATTTGCTGCCGTGTGTGCTTTGGTACATGTTGTGTAAGGCGTGATGAAGCGCCGCGCAAGTAGGTGTCATACATATTCAGAGTAAGACGAAGCGTCG